CAGTCAACATGCCACATACTCAACCTGTTATTAGCCAGCAACAGTTAATTCATTTGGCTAACATGACACATACTCAATCTGTTATTAACCAGCAATCGTGTCTTCCAATTCAGTCTCATATTATTAATGGTCCTATTACTAATCAGGTTCAATATCAACACCATCTTCTTAACCTCCACCAAGTTCTGTTCAAGCCAATATTTATATAAATAATCACCAACAGCCACCATCTACTGACCAGCCCGTGCAAGATAAAAATTGTATTTGTCAAGTTGTTCAAAATTGTAGTTGCCTAGTTTGTATTTTCTTATACAAGCACTGTCACCACAAAAAGTAAGAACAACAAAAAGAAAATTATGCCAAAATTAAAGTAGATAACACAGTTATCGTTAATAATAATTATCAAAGCAAAAAAAATTTAAATATATTATTTTTACTTTCATTATTTTTTGTATAATTTTATTATATGGAATAATTTTTTTGAATAGCAATATCACAGTCATATCTACTGTGTTTGCTGATAATAGTAACCTTTTTTTGAACTTAAGGTTTATGGGCAATTAGTTACAATTATTAGCTCTATCATTAGTTTTATTAAATTTTACACTATAAGAAAATAATGGTTGAATTTTTTTTTAGAGATTTTATCTTTTATATTCGATAAATTTCTGAAAGTTATGAGGACGAAATAATATATTTGTTAAGCTTTTGACAATAGCGTAAGGTTTAATAATGATAAATTGTTAATTTTACTATAATCTTATCCAAGAAATAAAATTTAAGATTTACTTTATAACCAATAAAGTACTAAAATTGAAAGACAAGTATTGACAACTTTATGATTTAATTTTTGAATAATCAAACTAATTGCCAAACAAATTGCGCAAGATTGTAAAAAAGTTTTTTAGATTTTAGATTGTTACTGAGACTTACAAAGAACAGTTAACTTTGCGCTTTAATATACTAAAAGAGGCTCAAAACTGGTTACTATCTAAATTAGAATGCTTTCTTTTGATAATTCCTTCACGCAACAATACCAAAACTAGTAATTTTTTATGTATTCAAAAACATTAATAGTATTTCCACTAATGTATGTGATATTATATATTGGAGTGAGTAACATGTATTTCAGTATTTAAATTATGCACTGCAACAACCAATTGTGAAACAAAAATGAACCACTCTCTAATGACTGCCTACGTGTAATCTTTGAATTATTTCAAAGCAAGCAAAAAACTCTATTCTCATGCCTACTTGTAAACCGCAAATAGTATCAAATTATCATTCCAATTTTATAGAAACATCTGATGTTTACTCCAAAAGTCATCACAATGTTTCTCTCATATCTTAATAAAGAACAACAAATATCATTAATACCTTTTGATATCCGTGTTCTACCTAAAATATGCAATACCCTATTTGAATATCCACGATATATTAATTACTTCAATATTGCTGACCTAATTAAATGCATTTTCAAACTTTACAATTTATGTATTTATGGCTTTAACTTTTACGACATTATAACTATAACAACAATCATCTTAATGAAAATAATTTTTCATTTCTGCATAAAGCTCAAAAAATTAGTAATCAATAATCATTACTTCAACTACACAGCTTATGATAACATTATACAAGAAGTTCTTCAAACCTTCCCACTTAGTACAATTAACAACAGCATCGATACCTTAACCATTAGATGTTTTCAACTCAATTCTAGAGTCTGGAACAATGTTACAAAACTACTCATTAAAAACAAATATATAACTTCGTTAAAGTTGACCAACATGGAACTTAAGCCCAGATACATTACAACTTTAATATCAGCTCTTCAACAAAACCCTACAATTTACTCACTCGATCTAACTTATTTATTGCACAATGAAATCGAGTTCAAAAACCTCGTTCAAATGTTGACCACCCTTAATCTTAGTTTTTGCACTCTTGGATCAAATATTGCAACCCAAAAAATTGCTGACTCTCTACATAAAAACCATATCTTAAAACACCTCGCTCTACATAACAGTTTTATCACCTACAGTAGTGGCAACACAATTTTAAATGCCCTATGCGAAAATTCCTCCCTCATACATTTAAATCTCTCTACTAACAAACTCAATGACCAAAATTGCGCCACGCTAGCAAAAATGCTTCGAAAAAACACCACCCTTATTTCTCTAGATCTAAACTACAACCAATTAGGTAGGAACAGATCCTTTGTTGCCAACTCACTTGGCAAAAACAAAAGCTTGGAATTTCTAGGCCTTTGCCAAAATAGCTTTTCACCTACCATCGTCGAATCATTTTTAGAGAATCGCAATTTAAATACTACTCTAATCCAATTAGATCTTTCACGCATCCTTGACGATAACCAAATTGTCAAAATCAAAAAGGAAGAAAAATACTTACCAATTCTCACCCAAATTCTCTTTAAAGATTATAGTTTATAAAAGAAATTATAAAAGTAACAAGGCCTTCAAGATTAGCAATTATATAATAATTTGTTGGCAAATTATTCTAAATTAGAATTTTTGTATTTTTTTTTTGCAATAGCAATATTACAATTATATCAGCTGCTTTTACTGAAGACAACTTTTTTATTTCAGTGCTGTCAAATAATATTACCATTTTTTTTGATTTTATTGAATGGTTTTAACCAAATTCTTAACTAAGAAAGTTACAATAGGATAAATTCATAATAATGTTCTAAACTTTAGATAATAAAAACTGCATTTGCTTAAGGATTTCATATTAAATCACCAAGAAAATTGTAAATAATAATAATAATTTACACGCCAAAAAACAATAATCATTCAATTTTGTTTAAATAACTATTGTATTTATATTAAATCTACCAACCATATTCGAACCACATGATCAGGATTCTTTTTGCCTTTGACCACATTTTTTGTAATTATGTGCCATGAAACACATACGAGTTTGATTCAAGCATGCTACGTAGAATTTTTTATTGTTAACATAAATTTTAATTCTTTATTAATTATTTTGACTGTTTTTCAAATATCATGTCAAATTCTTAGATGACTGTTTTTCAAGGATTATAAAGTCATAAACAAATATGTTGCACTTAATATCCTACTACATGTTAATTAAAGCTTTAAGACTGTTGCCCAAACAGTTCATCTAATAATAATTTGCATTAAATTACTTCAATTGAACAATTTAAATAATATTTCAGAGAAATATTAATGCATATCTAACCTAATTATTGTTTAACTGCGGTAATAAAAGGTACAAATATTTATCTTTTATTGAGTTTATTTGGATAAATTTTTATCAAATAATAATAAGACACAATATTCAAACCTATTATTTAGATCTCAGAATTAAGCTTTTGCAATGAATTAAGATAATTTTGCTTATAACTGTCGGCAAGGCTAATTCTTTTAAGTTCTCTTTCTTGAACTAATATATAGAACTTCTTTATCTCGTGAAGTTTAGTTTTGTTATCTTCTTCTTCGATTTCTTTTAATAGTTCAGAAAGCTTCAGATAATATCCAATAGTTTCAGTTTTTTCAAGATAAAGCCATTTTTTAGATTCCATAATAATATCATCAAGAATTTTGCTTTCTATTTTTTGAACTTCATCGCTATCGATTAAAACAGAAATAACTTCTCTTTCCGATGCTTCAAACCATTTTCAAAATAATGGAAATAGCTTTCAGCCTCAACCTAGTCAAAATAATGTTCATCCTAATCAACTTCTTCAACAGCAAATGGATCAAGTGAAAATGTATCTTAATGCCATACTTGGTGAACTAGAAAATCATCAATTTGGAAGAGTAATTTCTTCCCTTCACAAAGCACTTTCTAACTCCATAGACCAATGACATAACAGCATGCTACCTACTACCTATCAAGAAATCCAAGAAACTACGAATAGCATTAACCATAACCAGCTTCCATCTTATTCTTGCCATGCAAATGCAAATGCAAATGCTAATATTGCAGAGAGCA